GTATCTCTCTCCACTCTTCATTTCTTTTTCCGCTTTCATTCTTTCCTCTCTATTTTACTTTCTATCTTTCTGTCTCTTTCTTACTCTCTCTCCGTGTGTGCGTGCGTTCGCGCGCGCGCTTTTGTGTGACTCTCTATCACTTACTGACTCACCTTCTATTTCACTCTTTTTCTTTCCCTCTTTCGTTTGACATAAGTGTGGTGAAAATATACCAAATTCTGCGATTATAAATACATTCTTATTCAGTCCTAAACTCATAAAAATTTTAAATTGAGCAGCAAATTTTTACCTTTTGAATTACGATAATTAACTGCCTATAGCTTGTATACTGGAATTCAAGTTGTTAACTAAAAACTGATAAATATGTTTCTGCTAATTGCTTATGCTTGCCTGAGTTAGAAAAATAAATTGTAAGACATCTGTTTGGCCTGCAAGGTGATGAACCCGTATTTTGGTCATTACTTATAATTTTGGATGTCTATCATCTCTGGATGGTTGTGACGATTTCGGCATTCCGACATATTTAGCTAAGAGACAGACCAAACAGCGAGGATTGGGATACCGAAATGAACGGTAATATTACGAATTATAAAAACCTAGAGTTAGTATAATTGTTGCTCTATTGGCCTTTATTGCTCCAATGGCTAAATACAGGGTGAGTTCAACGTTTGTTCTTATTTGTCTAGTTTTGAGACAAACAGTTTTGTTCCAACTCTGCAGGATACTATTTAACAAAAAAGAATCGTTAAGAAAAAATGTAATTAGTTATATGTAGTTCCAATTTCAACATAAACGCTATTTATCATCCAGTTATTTGAATAATGCTGCAGTTATTCACTATATACACACCATGTTTGTTATTAGGTTTTAACATTCGATTACATGTTGTACAGTCGTTGATTGCTAATTAATCTCAAATCAAATTACAATTTTATTTAAATAACAGATTTCACCATAACAATGCATATATTGGTCGTGCCGTGAATGTCGAACTTGTTTACGCCATCGTTTCTTTCTTCGAAAGATAAAACGGATACAATCCCTCGCTGATTGGGTATCCCCGGCTTGCATTTTGATTTCACGTTTCTCCCTCGCTCGCGATAACTACTCCTCGTGACAACAATAATTAAATTTGGTTAATCAAGGATGTCTGAGAGTTGAAGGAAGGGGCTCATTAGCCATGGTAGCCCCGGTTCCAAACCGGGCTGCCGGAAAGCTAACCGCACTCTACATTTCGCACCCACATAACTCAACAGCTATGCTCTGGCCTAGTATAACTAGTTATTTAATTAATTCAAGCCTTGAAAGTGAAACGTTTGTAATTAATTCATAACATTTGTCCTGATATTTGTGTGTGGGCTTTCTGTTAACAGAGAATTGTTAGTATACGAAAATTTAAACACGTGTAATAAAACTCATAAACAAAGAATAATCAGCTGTCAATTAATAAATATAATACATTAAAACTATGTACCATTAACTTAGAAACCTTAAAATAATAGTATAAAACACTTCCATATACCTATACAAAGCAGCAAATTTGCGAAAATATTGGAAAGACTGTAGTTTGGGTTTAATTTTAATTAAAATTTTCATGCAAGCCCATATGTCAGATTTGATTGATCTATTGTAAAATATATTATACAAACCGCAGAAATTAGGTAAAATTTCTGTTAATATACAAAATTTATTTGTATTTAGTGTAGTATGATTTTATGCTTACAGTTTATAGTTCTTAGAGAGATGGAGACGAATTTATTTCAGGTTGATGTAGTTATTATTAAGACAGTTCTTAATGAGAGGAAATTTTTTATTAATGGGCTCTATTATTTAGTTTACATGTGAAAAAACAATCGTTTTATTATTAACTTAAATTGTAATTTCGAAAATTTATTTATAAAATATAAGAAAAAACCGAACCAGGATTGTACCTTGTAGAACACGATAGTTGATGGGTTTTATGTAACTGTAGGATACAATTATTTCAATTTTTTTGAACCTTGTTTAAAAATTATGATTTAAATAATTCAATGTTTGTTCAAGTAATTCGAATAACCATTTCATCAACTCATGTCATGAAAATCACAATAATTTTTTTTAGTAGATTTAGGATTAATCTAATTTGTATAAATGTACATTAGATTACGCCGGTGTTTTTGAAATAAGCCCATTTGTAAGTATGTCGGGTTCGAATGCAGGGCCGCTGGATTCGAATCCGGGACCTTTACCTTACAGTCATGAGCGCCGTGTGAACGCCTAAACCGTTGCGTCCACCGACGCCCCCGACAATTTTTCATTAATTAAGTTTATATTTTTCTGTTTTTAAGACTGTAATTTTCAAGTTAAATTATTATCAATAGTGAAGCAAATGTTATTTTATTTTCAAACAAACAAAAATTTTAGAAAAATTCTTATTTTGTATTTGTTTAAATTAATTAAGTCAACAAAATTTTGTTATTTTGGTTTTTATTACATAAAAATGTAAATAGTTCATTTGCCAAACAAATAATAAAGAAAACTAGCATTGCTCTCGCCATAACAAGTAGCTTGAGAGCAGTCGTGGCGTGTATTTCTTGTCTAATCAAATTGAGATTTTTCTATTTTAATTCGAAGAATTGAATTTGTTCGTTTATTTTATAGAAATGAATGTCGATGTTTTGTAATTAGGAAAAAATATTTTGTTTCTTTTTGTATGATTATTTTAATTCAGATTTTTCTATTTTAATTCGATGAGTTGAATTTGTTCGTTTATTTTATAGAAAATAATTTTGATGTTTTGTAATTAGGAAAAACTATTTTGTTTCTTTTTGTATGATTATTTTAATTCAGATTATTCTATTTTCATTCGAAGAATGGAATTTGTTTACTTATTTTATACAAATTGATATAAATGTTTTGTAATTCGGATTTTAGTTTAATTCGGTTATTTCCACTGGACAGCAAGGATCTGCAAAATAATTATTTTTTCTGATTATTGTCCAACTTGGCACGTATCTGAATAAAAGATACCATATACCTTCATTACGGTAATAGCAAAGCTAAAGATATTCAAATCAATTCATTCATAGCATCATTCATTCGAAGTTCCATAGCAGAGGGTCAAACATGGATAAAGAAATTGTTTCATCCCAAAATAAGAAGGAACAAACTAGTTTAGAAAATCACAATTACATGACTACGGACTTAACACCTCAAAAAAAAAAAAAAAATTATGGATGACTTGTCGGTTATAGAATTGTTTATGTACTGTTGACAAACGTTAGACCAAACGTAATTTATAAATTTAATGAAGAATGTGGTATCAGCAGGTGCCAAAAAGTGGACATAAAATCGAGGCAAATGAAAACTATGAAAACACAATAACAAAGTAGCAATAAAAATGCCAACAAGAACCATTTCATTCGTCACCGAGAATCAAATAGATTACACTACATTTGAAAATGGCAAAAAGGAGAGACAATTCAAAAGGTGGGGTTGAGATGGGAAGTTAGTGTCCGAGTGGTAAAGCATCAACATATTTAGCCGAAGGTCGTGGGTTGGAATCCCGCTTGTGACACTGACTTTTTTAGCTCAACCAAAAACCTTAATTAATTGGAAAGAATTTATTTGGTCTTGCGGACCACTAATCCTAATAAAAAGTTAATCAAACAATTGGTTACTCAACTTGTAACCGCAATGGAAAAGCGCTCAAATTGTAATCTGAAGCCGTCCATAAACCCATTGCTGAACAGAAAGAAATTTTAGAGGAAAAATTCTATTTTTGTATGAGGAGAAAGATCCAAGAAAATATGGCTATGAGGAACCTGTTTCCAAAACCATGACTGGCCAGCACGCGCTTTCATTTTTGTATAATATACCACCAAAATTGTTCCATTGGGCATTCGAAAATTTCAAATATTCGGACGGCTACCGTTATACTGTTGAAAATTAATATCACATTCATTTAGATAACCATAATAGAGAGAAATTGCTCTACTAAAACTAAAATTGCACAATCTAGAATATATTTTTCAATTTTTAAAGTCACTTTATCCGACAGCTTTGAGGAATAGACAAAATTTCCTGCCATACTGTATTATATATATGATGATTTGAATTTCCGTCTACATGACTCAGGACCCAGCCCAATCTTTTCTCCTCCGCATGGACACTGTGCAATAATAAGGGATGCTAAACCGTTTTTTACACCGTTAAATCGTTTTTCCAAAGCAGCAACACTCACCTCTGTAGCGATATATCTAGATGCACGAGAGACAGGGATAACTGTGATACAGCATTTATCAATATTTGATTGATTGGATTTTTAAAACCTTGAAACTCTTGCTGAAAAAAAAAATCAAACACCAATTTCTCTGGTTTGAATGGACATATTTAATCTCTCGATTGTTAATCTTCTTCAAAATTAAATACCGTTTGTTAAATACAAATAAACGTAAAAAACAATTAAGAATTAAAAGCTTGTACGCTCATATGTAGTTAGTAGGCCAAGTAGCAAGAAGGTAAGAAAATTCTGCTGAAATATTTGTAAACAAGTTTTTAGACGATAGCCTATTTTATAGTGACTTCTAGTTTCAATCTGAAATATAATTACCTGTTGATTCTTCATGAAGTTTGCGCTCTCTTAGCTGCTCAGTGGCCAGATAGCGAAATTGAAAAAAAAAACAAAAAAAACAGTAATCTAACAATGATATATTCGTATCAATATGCAGGGACAGTTATAATAATATAAACACAAACAATAATAATTAAATTTAATAAAACAAAAAATAAAAGTTAAAATTTAGTGTAAACATACGCATAAAATTTATATCAGTAAAACGAGAATCACTTAGAATTTTTTTGAAAGTTTTCCAGACAGACTCCTCTAAGTACAAACTATGCGCGACTTACATCGAAATGAACTCTATAATGAATAATTATATACAATTGGCAATGGTACCAACTAATGATCAAACATCTGATATTTTACATATGAAATTATTATTTAAAAAAAGTAGAAGTTTGTTATTTCAAATTTTATTGACATTCACTCTCATCACTGCATGGGTCAGGTGAAGCAGTTTCGGAGTAATCGCTGATGAGCTCCGAAAGAGAATCTTGGGCTAGGGTCAGCTCGTCAGCGAACATGCCCGACCGCGTGTACCAGTGTAGAAAAGCTCGCTTCCTCAGCATGGATGAGACGCAATGGTAAATGTGTTCGAAAGGCTTGATGACGGCGGTGGTGTTGTAGAGTAGGGTCGCCGACTCAGGAACATGGAGGATCTCGCCGACCGGAAGAAACCCAGTAGGACTTTGAGCCAAACCGATTTTTATGGCAGCCGGCGCCCATGGGACGAATCTGAGCGTTTTGGTGTTGATGAGTTTATTGATAAAGGTTTGGACCTCTCCGAGAGAATCCAAATAGCTTCTGTACAGCACCGTGGACGTGATGACGAAAGGGTCGTGGAAATCGGCCGTCAACAGTTGGCGTCTCGGCGAGAAGAGGTCATGCATAACTTCTGAAACCGCCACTATGTTATGGCACGATGACAAATCGTGGGCGAGCGGCGCGAACGATGCCGATGCGAACCGGAGCCGTTTGCTCGCGACGACCGTCGTCTCGATGTCCCTGAACCCGACGGATTTAAAACCACCGTACCTAGTGCCGGCTGTCGTGGCGCTCAAAACATGAGCAAGGATGCTGTTTATGCTGTTATAGTTGGGCGTCTTGCTACCGGTACTGTACACCATTCGGAACAAGGCTTCATTATCCACGACGATCACAGCTCGATGCTCCTCCATGGTGTCCTTCAAGAAGAGACTTATGTTGTATGGTTCCACTATGAGTGTATTGTTGCTTTTCATCTTTAAAAAAAATTTATATCTTTTTTGTATATTCATTTTTAACTATAACCTATTTTTAGGGTTAACAAATAATTTAAAAGATCTCATTCCTCTTGGCAAGGCTTGCTTACATATCAGACAGAAAACAGTATGACTAACTAGATTGAATAGTAAAACGTATTGAAAACAACAAAAAACGCCTGCAGGGTGATCAATGTATTTTTTAAAATAAAATTTGTCTACTGTGTAATCTAAATTATCTATTTCCTCGTCAACCTTAAGATTTATATCAAATCTTAAAGCTATGTAAAGAGTGTACGTATGTAACCTTCTGTCTTTCAGGTCTTGTACTTTCTGGGATGTAGAAATTTCAAACAGTCTAAGCCATCGATCTAACAGAGGACAAGTTCCTATGTTTCTACTTCTTCCTGGAAAATATGTGCAGCGTTTTCCGTTTCTCCATGTTTATATTTGCCTCCAAAATATGCAGTGTCCAGCCTTAGCTATAACCTTCTAGTTACTTTTATATCCTTCTAACTTACTCTTAATCCATTTTCCGATACGTCTAGAATCTGGTTTTGGTATGCCACAAAAGGTTTCTAGTTCTATAGCTGAACTCACCCGTGGAAACCTGCAGCACTAACACTATCAACAAACAAGTAAACAAATGACACAAAGAAATAAACCGATACAAAAATAACACATTAAATGGACATAATCTGGCAAACTAATATATTTGATGAGGCATGAAAACGCCCTGAAAACAAAAACAAATAAAATTGGATATCCCGGGACGTAACATTTACTAGACTATTCATTAAAAATGACAGTATTAGATAGTAGTTACGGCATAACAAAAATCGCACAGAATCACTATTGGGATTTACGAAGCAGAAACGAGTCTAGAAAGCGATTATAGGCAGAATGAACTATGCTTTTAGATACCTTTTGACTTGGCATTACGGCCAATTCGACTTGAGCAGCTTTTGGATACTCTGTCTTTAGCACGTTCAGCAGCCTTGCGGTGACGCCGGATCCAGTACCTCCACCGAGAGAATGGGTGAAAAGGAATCCGCACGGGTTGTCACTCTCTTCTGCCATTTGTCTTACGTATTTGACAACCTTGTCCACGACCTCTTCAGCTACGACAAAATTTCCACGTGAATACAGACCTCCACTTTCGGCGCATGTATGCATGACGTAATTCCACTGGAAAACATCGCTCAAAGGGCCACTCCTTAAATTACCTAAAATTTAAAACTTATGTAACATAAATAGAGATTATTTGACGACAGTTCGATGCGATAATCACTGAGTGTATACTCGTCGGAATCGATGAAACAAGCTTTTGCTGTGAATTTCGGCCCTGACCACTGGTGGAACATGACTTGAGCTTGCGAATCCAAGCAACGATCGCCATTTTCTTTGAACCCTCGTGGGTTGAGGCCGTGTTCGTGAAGTAGCAGATGCCACATCGCAGTACCAATCTGCACTCCTGCTTGCCCGATGTGAATTGAAATAATGGATGTTGGCTGCAATTAACATGGTTTTTCATGTTGGTTCGTTGTGTTTTAACTCTAGACTAACCTTTCTAGGTGTTCCGTGTTGTGACATGATGTACTTAGGTTTTTTTGTATTGTAGAAACTGTCGTGTTTGAATTTAATGCCGAAAATTAACTGACATATGTTAATTTACACATTGGTATGAATGTAGTAGTTATGGAGCGCATTTTAACTTTTTAATCCTTCAACTAAGCCGTTATGAATTAAAATTCGTTTGTTTTAGAGGAGAATGTTAATAATTTAACTTTCCTTTTGTTTCATTTCTTATTAACAACCCTTTTTGAAAATAAATGTCAGCACGTGATCTCACTATCTTAAATGATTTTCTTACAGATGTCATGATATCAAATAGCTGAGGTGTGAGATAGGTCGGCTGGCCGCAAATGGCATCGATTATACAAACATAGGGTCAGCCCCTCGCCGTGCGTGCCCGTGAAAGAACCAGGGCATAGACAGATAAAACTGTGGTCGTACAACACTGTCCCTCCGGCCGCTTGCACACACACCCGTCCCATCCGTCCGTGGTCCCTTTAATCGCTCGGTCGTATATTCTATCACGCATTTATACCCACCGCAGACTCGGCCAACTGAGTTCATTCTGGTGCAAATTATGAGAGGCTGATCTCATCAGAGTATTTCCCATTTGAATCCTAATGCGGCCGGTTGGGGCAAAAAGCGGCTTTTCTACTCGAAAATGTCCTCGTTGAATGGCAAACGCAATATATATTTCACAATGCAACACTATGATTAAATTCTCCCAGCAGGGTTAACGATTTTTAAGATTACTCACCATCTAAAGAATGCAGTCACAATTTAGGATGAATATGTCAAAAAGGGAGAAAAAGACTTATAATGCTTAACTGTTTTAGTTTTCTTGTTTTCATTTGGTGGTATTCCCCTTTGTACACTGCCAATTGATTAGGATTATGGTACCTAGCAGAAGAATGCATAGCATAACAATGCGTTTCCCAGGAGGTACCAGCCTTTTTCTAGCTACTGAAGTGCAGTTGAATAGGGTATTTCTTGTTATCCCTGTCCTCACCACATAATCGACATTGTTGATCTTTTTTGTTTTTGTTTGTCTTTCCACAATTGTGAAAACGATTGATTGTCGATTTACGGTATTAGTCATATTCAAATTTATTGTGAGAAATTTGTAATTTTAAATACACTGACCATACCCATTCTGCATATTTCCCCATACGCTGGTGTTCTTCAAGGTAGCATTCTGGCTCCCACGCTATGCCGGGGTGCACAACTGACATTTCATTACAACCCCAAGCCACAATATTCACATTTGCAGACGATATAACAATTCTCTCTACTAACTCCGATCCAGCATTTCCACTCGAAACCTCCAACAACCAACACCGCTTGCATCTTGGTGTAAAAAGAAAAGAATACAATTTAACATAGATAAATCAATTTAACATAGACAAACCTAAATTACTTTTAATCTCCGTGAAAAGATCTCCCCTCCTGTCCGGTGAAATAATATTCCTCTCCCAACTGGATAAGGTGCATCGGACTGTACATCAACAAACGCCTGACGTCAAATGCTCTCACACGACTGAAAGTCAGATGGTTATGACACCATACAGAACTTTTGTGCGACTTCTTGGCGAAGGTTTTTATTCACCTCTCAAAAATAAAAGTGCTTTGGAAAACCATAGTTAAGGGGGCGTCGATGGCTGCTACGGGGCTTTGACACGGCACCCATCACTGTAAGGTAAAGGTCCCGGGTTGGAATCCAGCAGCCCTGCATTCATAGTTAAGCTGATAGGGACTACATCCGAGAAGTTCGAAGGGTTTTAGGTTTCTCAATAGATAAAATTAGATATGTACTCCGGACTTACAATCTTAAGCAGTGTATCTCATCTTGTCCAGGGACTTCGGCACTCTGATTATGACAGGCGGCAAACTTTCCTTACACAAATGTTTATTGCGGAAGCTGAATAAAACGTAGTTCCATACATCCTGTAATCAGATGAATCCATATTCTCCTCTAATTTTTGAAGTTGATTGTGTTTGTGGTTTCCTGTATAATTTTTCTCAAAAAAACGGTACAAATTTGAAATTAGACTATAATATTTGATAGTAACATACAAACTTTAAGACACAAACTTATTTTTATAACGTTATTGGTTCAAGAGAATTTCAACGGGGTATGTAAAAAGACACTCTGTATATATTTATAAGAATTTATTAAAAATATAAAATTAAAACGGCAGATTGATATGCAAAACGATCAATTTAAATTGCAAAAGAGGTAATTTTTTTTAAACCAGTAATAATATCCAATTTCCAGGCAGCTCTCCAAGCCTAAAGGATTAGCCCAAAACTTGTCTTGAATTATCTGAATAAGCTGGGTGGAAACCAGGTCATGAAGGAACTTAAAGGCAGCATTGCAGCAGACACACGAAATGCAAAGGGAGGGTGCATAAATTATATATTATTGCATAAATTATAGCAATGCATATTAAAAAATAACTAGAACATTGTATAACAAAAGAACACAACTGAAAATGTATGACTTATCAACGAAACAAACGAAATGCTCTATTCAAGCTAACATAGTCATCTTTTGACCAATTTCAAATCCGATTGCATCAATGTTTCAGCGTAAAATTTTTTTAAAAATAATGTAGAGGGTATGAATATGTATAGGATCGTATTTTAAATTTTGAAGTCGGATGGGCCTCAGATTCTCGGTATAATTTTTCTCGAAAAAAAGATAAAAATTTGAAACTAGCCTAAAAAAATTAAACACATTTCTTTTGGCAGCGACATTGGTTCGAGATAAATTCAGCTAGGCCATCTAAACAGGACACCCTGTATAAACCGATCTTACTTTAAATATTGGAGGACTAAAACTGAAACCCCTTTACATTCAATTTTATGATTTGCACGTAATGTTTACCTGTGTTATGTGTTTTTCCAATTTCATTTTCCTTTGTACAATACGAAGGAAATAATCATATACACCATTTGTTGTTCTTGGGTTGATGATTTTAAGAGGAATATTTCATGAAGTGTGATTTGTCCATAAATAAGGGCTGTGTGAGGTAATTTCGGATTCCAAGGAGCCCATTCGAAACCTGGCGTTCGTTATAAACAATTAGCCAGCTATATCCAAACGGGTTTAATGATAAATAGAAATTTATAGAAGCAATGTTTAACACATTCGTTCCCACGGCGGGATTAACTCGGAAAGGTAATGGAAATTGCCGTCAGGATGTATATTCCCTTCGTATAAATCCGCGTCTCCGGCTGTTTCTTAAAGAGTTGAAACATGAAAGACCAATAAATAAGAAGGGTGTATTAATTTTCTTGGAGTTATTTGGTCTGGAGTGTAAAGGGTTAATTAAATAACAGCGTAAACATGTCAGCGGCAGGTGGCGAACAACAGTAAAAGCCAATATTGCAGAAGGACAATCCGACAATCATAAAAACTGTGAGGACAATTGACGATTGAATTTAAAAAGTCCATTTAATGGTAGAAATAAAATAATTGAAATATTATAAAATGAAACCTCGATATTTTGTATCTCGTTAGAAAGTGCTGGACTCTTGGAAAAATATCGTTGAATCGTCTAAAAGCCATGCATTTCGGACTCCTCAGTGTAGCATATTTTTTCGCCTTCGAAGTCAATGAACGGTCTTATAACACCCATTTTAGCATTAAAATCTCGATGAAACGTATGAATGGAGTCCTAGGGGTTTCCTTATGAGGATGGATCAAGTTTCATGTAACGTAGACCACAAGGGTTGTGGCCAGTGGTGAGTGGGTGTTTCCAGAATTTCGTTCGTAACATTCCATGCTTCTGACTCTATTAAACAATGTAAACATAATTGCTAACTGCAATGAATAAAAGTATAGAAAGGCTTTACGAACTATCGACCTTTGCATCACTTTGGTTACGTTTGGGTCACAGGACCCAGACGTTCAACAAAAAACGGCGAAATATTTATTATTCTTTATTTCGGTATTGTTGTTCTTCTTTTTAAATTTTTAGATAATACATTGCTGTTTGTAGGCCTCATTTGAAGGTGTTTTTTGGAAAAATAAAAAACACAATTCTGAGACATTTATGCTATCCTTGCTATTTTCAAGACATATATTTTAGTTATTGTATTTTAATTAAGGTTTTGGTTGCGATAAAAATGTCATTGTCACAAGCGGGATTCGAACCCACGACCTTCGGCTTAATACGTCTCTGCTCTACCACTTCGATCCACTCGGACACTAACTTCCCATCTCAACCCCACCTTTTGAATTTTCCCTCCTTTTTGTCATTTTTCAAATGACGTGTAATCTATTTGATTCTAGGCGACAAATGAAATGGCCACGAATAGTATAGTGAAATATACTTTATTTTTCTTATTACATTTTATTAGGTTTCGTGGTCCGCTTGAGCAAATAAATTCTTTTCAATTAATTAAGGTTTTGGTTGAGCTCAACTGGCAGAGCAGCGGCATATTTAGCCGAAGGTCGTGGGTTCGAATCCCGCTTGTGACAATGACTTTTTATCTCAACCAAAACCAACTAATTGAAAAGAATTTATTTCAGAGGACCTCAAAACCTAAAAATTTTTATTTTAATGAAAAAAATGTAAGTTTGTAATTTTATTTTTACCCTACTTTCAGGCAATGTTGGAGTTTGAGGATGGTACTCCATTCGAAGAAGATTGCATGAAGGTCAAATGATAACTGTACAGTTTAACCTGGGTTAGTGAGAACCTGACACATTGAGAATCCTAGATTACTGAGAAAATGTACCCTTTAGGTGGTCAAAACCTTACTGAGAAAATCTGACCTCTGTTATGTAGAATTGAAATTGGGTTCGCTATCTGTAGAAGAGAGAATTTTCCACGTTCATGACCTCTATAAGGGGAAGTGACTATAACCATTATACCTAGGAGTAATACCGAACTTTAAACTATTCGTATAGAAAAATAATCGTTCCTCCCTTACATTGAGCAGTCTTCTCAGCTTCCAGACATCATATTTGGTGCAATGAGGGTTGCTATGTTAGAAAGCTTGTTATGTTAAATCATGGACGACTGCCAACTGTTTTAGAAAGTGTGAGTTCATCATATCTTATATAAATATGAATGCTAATAAGGAGGAAGAAGAGCAAGTAACAAGTGCAGATTGAAACACTGTGTTCTCCTATGCTTCATCTTCTTCGGA